TGTCCAGCTTTTCTTTGCTTCCTTGTAGGTTTTTTTTGTTCTCTGCTACTCGCTTTTTATTTTTTTCCCTCCCCTGCCTCCACCCCAGAAGGCTACAATTAAGCATGGAGATATATACATACATATATGTACACACATATTATACATGTACAGACATATAAACATACGCATACACTCATACATATGTATGTAAGACCATACTATGCTTATTTCCACTTGTCGTCTGTCTCTCTGTAGGTGGACAGTGTCCTCCCTCATATGTCCAAGTCTTTCTTTGTTTTTCTTAATTAACCAGCTCATCATTTCCTACACCGCAGTAACATGCCAACCCAATCCCATTCTATCTGAGAGATTATCTATGAAAGGTTTCCCCCAAGTTCTGCGTCCCTTTTATTCTTGGCTGCATAGATTCTATTTATACAAGAACACTTTAGTTTAAAATGACCAACATTATCATTTTACATTTCAACAACGCTCTCACCTTATAATATGGCTTAAGGTCTGATACTACCGGATCTACTTCCTTTACATCTTTTTTTCCCCTGGGTTCTTTGAAGTTCCTGACCTTTGGTTCTTCTAAATGAACTTTGTTATTATTTTTTCTAACTTAGTAAGATAATTTTTAGTAATTTAATTGGGATGGAATTATATAAATAGATTAGTTAGGTAAAATTGTTATTTTTTAAAATTTTATTGGCTTTACTTACCCATGAACAATGAATATTACTTCAGTTATTTAGATCTAATTTTATTTGTATGAAAAGTATTTTATGTTTATATTTGTATAATTTCTGTGTCTTTTTTGGCAGGTATACTTTCAGGTATTTTATACTGTCTAGTTATTTTAAATGGTCTAAAACAATATTGAATAATATGGCTGACACATAGAGTAGTTTCCCTATTTTTCTCTGTTGATTAAATCTATTTTAGCTGTAACTTTGTCTGAAATCATGATTACTACCTCTTCTTTTTTATATAATAAATTCTACTCCTGACCTTTATTTTACTTTTGTGTGTCTCTCTCATTTTTATAGCATTTCCTAAAAGCAATCTATTATTGAATTGAAATTTTTAATCTGCTGTGGTTCCATTTTTTGGGTGAATTCATCCCATTCACATTCAAAGCTGTAATTACTTGTTGTATTTTCCTCCTTCCTATTTTTGCTCACTATCCCTCTCACTCTATTCCTATCCCTTAGAGAACTTTTAAAAAATATTATCCCATTGTATCCTCACAACAACCCTGGGATGCAGGTGGTATTATCACCCTCATTTTATAGATGAGGAAATTGAGGCCGAGGAATGTTAAATGTCTTATCTAGGGTCACATGGCTGGTAAGTGCCTGAGGCAGGATTTGAACTCAGGTCTTCCTGACTCTGAGTCCACCTAATATTGCCTTTATTAAAGGTTTACCATGTGCCAGTCCTGTGCCAAGGTCTGGGAATGCAAAGAAGGCATAGATCAATGAGATTTGGAGTCACTGAAGTACTGACGGATTGATGTGTGTTCATACTGGGGTTGCATATTGAGAAGACAACTCCACATAGAAGCAAAAAAAAAAACTGGAGCTTGGTATCTTGTTTCTTGTATCTTGTTTATACTCAGCTCCAGTGGTTTTGAGGTTTGTTTGGAACAGGCAGATGACTTTATAAACACCCCTTTCTCTTGGCCAAATTGCCAAAGGCTTTTGGGTTCTGGGCTCTAATAAAACTTACGTTATTGTTATACATGTGGGCTGAGTGGGTCATTAGTCAGTTTCAAGTGCCATGGTGAAAACCGAAGACATTTTGCTAACCCTGGATAATGAGACTGCAAAGCAGAAACAGCAATGAATTTAACAGAGTTAAATCACACTGTGCTTTGTGCCGCCTCAGCTTCCACACAGGAACTCAGTTTCCCCATTTGTAAAAGGAGCATAATGCTAGTGAATGCCTGTCTCACATGACTCTTCAGAGAATCAAGAACAGGATGTCCATGAAATATCTTTGGCTCTTTGGGAGAAAGGCCAAATATGTTGCTTTGTCGTGTTTTATCAATGGGAAAGATTTTTAATAGAGTTGGAAGAATTTAAACAATAGCAGTCTCTTGGCAGCTCCCACATTCCTTTTTTGTTGTTGTTCAGATCACCCTTTTTGGTGTAATGCCCTTGAAGAAGGAAGGATCTGAAATAGAAACAGCTGCAGGAAGTCAAGTATGTGACTGAAGCCTGGTTTGACTCTGAGAGCAGCTGTCGTCACCACATTGTCCAGAAGCACACGGGAAAAATGATCTCTGTCAAAACCATCAGCTCTTCTGAAAGAGGTCAGCATTATACCCGAGGGATGGAGCTCCCTTGTTGATCGCTTTTTTCAGTGACCTCTGTAAAGGATTTGCTTTCCTAGTGTTCTCTTCTGGCAGTGACTTCGGTCTCACATCCTCTGAAAAGGAGAATGACAAGTACTGAGGTATCATATAGGAGATAGCTAAACGTAGGAGCCAATGGATTTTTGTGTTTGTGAAAACTAGGTGAATTAGATACAAAACATTTAAAATATCACCCTCCCTCCTTTAAAAAAAGTTAATCAATTGAGCAAATGTAATTAGGACTTTCCAGTATATAGAGTTTCATAATTAATATCACACTTCATTACCATAAAATTTTTTTTTCTGGATCTAAATGTTTTTCCTGAGCCTTAATCTTACTCCAAATGACTGAGGATATTTCTCTCTGGCTTCCTCCTGTAACATACTATGTCTCCTTACTGGAGAGAGGGGAGGAGGGGAGTGGAGGGAGAGAGAGACAGAGACAGAGACAGAGAGAGAGAGAGAGAGAGAGAGAATAGACAGATCAAGATGGATGGATGGATAGACAGATAATAGACATCTGGATGAATTTATTTTCTCCAGGATCAAATATAAAGTCCTTTGGCATTTAAAACATTTCACAATCTGACCATTCTTACCTTTCCAGGTAATCCCCTACCTACCTCCACTTTACTTCCCTCCACCAACTCTGTGTCCTTTGAACTTGACCTTCCATTTCCCTTCTCTATACCTTTGTCCTGGAATGCCCTTTCTCGTAACCTCTGCCTCTCAAAATCCCTGACTTCCTTCAAAGCTCACCTCAAATGCCACCTTCCACAGAAGTCCTTCCAGAAACTAGAGCCTTCGCCACTAAAGCGACTTGCCAACTACTCTGCATGTATGCTGTGTCTCTTGTATGTTTCTATGTACATATTGTCCCCTACCTTAGCAGGCAACCTCCGGGAGGGAAGGAACGGTTTTCAGTCCTCTCTGTATTCCTGGTGCTTAGTATGGCACCTAGCAAACAGCAGGCACTGAATAAATGCTTACTGATTGTGTGTGTGCACTTGTATGTGTGCATGTGCATGTATGGGTGTGTCACAGCCTTCAGTCTGAGATGCAGGTACTACAAAAGTTGGGATTGATCAGAATGGGGTGGGGTCTGAAGATCACAACAAAATCGTGAATGAAGAATATGGGAAGGGTCAGTGAATAAGTCAGGTGGCAAACATTTATTTAGCACCTTCTATGTGCCACGCACCACGCTAAGTGCAGGAAGGGTTTGTGACTGATGGACAGAGTGGACCGAGAAGTGAAGGGATAGATGGATGGAAGGAGAGGACATTTCCCTACTCAAAAAGATTTCCTGGGCTAGGCCTAAAGCCTCTTCTGTCTAAATACGTTTCCATGAAACTTGAAAGATGTAATTTCTCTGAATCTCAGCTTGCTCATCTGAAAAATGAGATTAATGATCCCCCTAGCAATGAGCACAGAGGGTAGTTACAAAGTTCAAATATGGCAACACCTGGAAAGCACTTTGTGAACCTTATGGTGTTTTATGAAGGAGATCTGCTGCTTTTCCCTGGGACCTCGGCAAGGGAAGGAGTCTCTGTTTTTATTTCTTATCAGTGTTTTCGTGGGAAAAGGCAATGCTGCCTAGTGGCTAACCCTCTGGCCTTGGAGTCAGTGAAACCTGGCCTTCACACTCGCCTCTGACATTTATCCCACTGAGGGAGCCTGGGGAGGTCACCTACTTTGTCACGTGTCTCAGCAATTCCCTAGGACATTTGGGTTTGCTCATTGACAGCATGTCCTTGGAGGAGGGAGATCCTTACACTGATCAAAATCACAGACCTTGTTTTAGGGGGATGGACATTGTTGGTGTCCTTGGATTCCTCTTTCCTGTCCATTCCACATGTATTGGGGCCTGGATCTCAAGCTGAGGTTGCATCTCTCTCTCTCTCTCTCTCTCTCTCTCTCTCTCTCTCTCTCTCTCTCTCTCTCTCTCTCTCTCTCTCCTCTTTCCTCTTTCTCTCAGCCTCTCTCCATCTCCCCCTCTTTCCTTCTCCCTTCTCTCAACCTCTCCCCCCTCTCTATCTCACACAGAAAGTGTGTGTGTGTGTGTGTGTGTGTGTGTGTGTGTGTGTGTGTGTACCCTCTTCTGCCAGGAATATTCTCAAAAATGGATAGTTTAGAAGGAGATATTGCTGATCAGGCCTGGCCTTTATATTAACCACATATAAATTAAACCTTTTAAACGGCATAGCCACACAACCTGATCACAGAAACAGCAGCCTTTGAAGGGCCTTGGCTGTGGAGCTGAGGTTAGCATCCCCCCACATCCTCACTCATGTACCCTCCCAGCTCAGGGCGCACCGCAGGGCCAGTAGATGACCTTGTCCTGGTCTCTCAGCCCAGTTTCTAGCACTCCACAGGTCCCAATGCTGCCCATGCCCCTCCCTCTTTTCCTTTGGCCAGGGTCTGGCTGAGGCAGTTAGCCAACAGTGGGGGGGCAAGGGCTGCTGTGCTGAACTGTAGTCATTGTTCAGCTCTGCCTCCCCCCTTCCTCCCACCCCCACCTTTGTGTCCCTCAACAGTCAAAGGCATTTGGAAAGAGGAAGTCTCTCATGAGATCATTTCCCATGAGGCCATTCTTGCATTTGACATGCCAGCAACGTCACCATCACCATTGCCGTGACTAACTCTCTACCCCTGGAAAAGCATTAGTAATAACAATAATTAGCAGTCGCCTTGTGTTTTACAACCATTAGTCAGCTGAAGACTACAATAGCTTTGGGAGGTAGGTAAGCTGGAATTATGGGGTCCATTTTTGCAGCGAGTAGAATCCAGGCCCAACAAGGGGGTGGGGGGGTGACTCACTGAGGTCACTCGTCCAGCTGGTGGTTGAACAGGAAGGGGATTCCAGGTCCCTGGTGCCCAAAGAGCTTTCTGATCAAACCTAGCATCTCGGGATCATGGATTTTGATCTGGGAGGGGCCTTAAAAATCATCTAGTTCATCCTTCCCCATTTTATAGGTCAGGAAATAGAGTAAAGAGACTTCTACGTAGGTGATCTGAGATTTGAATCCAAATCCACTGAGGCAAGACCAGTCTGACCACATGCATGGCCTGCTAGAGAGAGCACCAGGCTTGACGCCATGAAGCCCAGAGGTCGAATTCTGAGTAATTCTCCTGTCAGTCAGACATCAGAAGCAAAGGCCTGTATTTTTGGCATGGCTCACTATGGGCCTGGCCACCAGTAAAGGTTGATCACTTGCTCACCTCACTTTATGGAGCTTAGCAGACAGTCCAATATGTAGTGGGCACTTAATAAATGCTTGTTAAATGACTGATGGACTGAGGTTTCAAAGCACGGGTGGAGACTGAATCTGAGCCTTTTTCTGCTGATCTGAAAGCATTCCCCGGGTTTTCCAGTGGGGCGTAGGGACGAGGCTCTAGTCCCAGTGATGGAGATGGGGACCAAGTTCCCGGACATGCTTAGGGCTCCATTCACTCCTGTGGACATTGCCAGGCAAGCCTGGGGTCAGAGGTGGTGAGGCTGGGTTATCAACAGGAAGATCCTTTCACCTCTCCCCTTCCTTCTGATCTCTCTTCTATCAGCCAGCCCTTTGCCAGGCTGTAACTCAGAATCTTGCTGCCCTTCCAATCCTCTGCCTGGTGGGACTGGGTTCAGCGCCACCAGACCATGACTGACAGGGCTGAAATGCCCACTGCCACTAATTCACATGTGTAGAAACCCATTCATCATGGATTCATTTAGGGGGAAAAATAGCGAGGCAGGTTGGTGGTACAAGGGGCAGCTAGGTGGCACAGTGGATAGAGTAACAGTCCAGAAGTCAGGAGGACCTGAGTTCAAATCCAACCTCAGACTCTTACTACCTGAGTGACCCTGGGTAAGTCACTTAACTCTGTTTTGTCTCAGTTCCTGATCTATAAAATGAGCTGGAGAAGGAAATGGCAAACCACTCCAGTATCTCTGCCAAGAAAACCCCAGATGGGGTCACCAAGAGCAGGACACTACTGAAATGACTCACCAACAATGATTGGTGGTATAATGGACAGATTGCTGGATCCGGAGTCGGGAAGACCTGGATTTGAATCCTGCCTCAGCCACTTACTAGCCACGTGTCCCTGGGCAACCTAGAGTTGATTCAGTTTCCTCATCCGTAAAATGGGAGTAATAATAGCACCTACCTCTCAGGTTGCTGTGAGGATCAAATGAGATAATATTTATGAAACTCTGCAAATCTTGAACTGTTGTAAAAAAGCTAGCTATCATTATTATTATTGTTATTATTAAAGAAATTTGGTTTTTTAACCAATACACTTGAATGTATTCATTCCAAGTGTTGCTTTTCAAAGTGATCCCCTTTATAAAAATTATTGATATCTTTTGTTTTTTCATTACTTTTATTTTCAACATATCTCTCCTTTCTCTTACCCAGAAAATCATTTCTAGTCATAAGGAATTTTAAAAGGGGGGGGGGGAACATTTCAGCACAGAAACAGGCAGCACATTAAATGAATCTGGCACTGTATGCAGTCGTCCACACAACCAGAGGCTCCCACCTCAGCAAGGAATGTGGAGAGGCAGCATGGCAAAGTGGGTACGAGCTCTAGAGTCAGAGAACCTGGGTTCAGATTCAGCCTTTAACCTCTGCTACCTGTGTGATGTCAGGCAAATCACTTACATTCTCCAGGCCTCAGTTTCCTTATTTGTAAAATGAGGAGATTGGGCTATGTGGCCTCTGAGGCGCCTTCTAGGTCTATGGTCCTCAGTTGCAGGTGTGTTTTCTCTTCTGTTCTCTGGGCCAAGTTCAATTAAAATTCCTTGTTGCTATGGTGTCTTCCAAAATCCATTTCCACTGTGCTTTGGGTTTTCCAAAGAACCTTCCTCAGGCCAGTGCTGTAAGGGATGTAATGGGTTACTTCCTTCCATTTTACAGATGAGGAAATGGAGGTGGTGGGTGAGGTGGCTCCATGAGGTGCATCCATGTGAGTGTCCTCAGACTCAAGTCTTCTGGTTTTCTGGAAGAAGACTGGATTTGGGGCCAAAGGATCAGGGTTCAAGAGCTGACTCTGTTACTTACTACTTGGCTGAACTTGGGATAATCACAACCTTCCTGGGCTTCCATTTCTCATCTATGAGATGAAGAGGTTGGAGAAGGAGATCTCTGAGTTCGTCCTGTTCTCAATTCCAGGACACCCTTATTTCTTCTCTGAAACCCACCTGCTCTCATCATGACCTCTCCAAACTCCCAAAAGAAAAAAAAAAAGCCTGAAAAATCTATTAGGGATTGGGAATTTTGAGCAGCTCTTTGCTTATTCAAAAGATGAAATAGACCAGACTTGTTTTAATTGAGAGGTACAAGAATATTCAGGCCAGCCAAGATGACCACATGTTCAGGTAACTTGGCTGGGGAGAAAACATTCCTTATTTCTCTTTTCCTGAAAAAAAAGAAAATCGGATTAATTTTGCTTTGGCAAAGGAAACAAACACAGATTCACCAACTGATCACCTGCAAAGCCCATTAACTGAAACAGTTCAATAAAACAGGATGAAAGGGCTATTGGGACCATTTGTCCATGTGGTCTCCTACATTTGTAGCTTGATATTTGTTCAAAGAACGGAAGGGGCATGTTTTCTCTTTAATAAACCAGCACCAATGCCGTCTGCTGTTTTGGATCTGAATTCTGTTGTTATTTAGTTAATAAATGAAAAGTATTTTGTAGGGACTTACCATGTGCTGTGCACTGTACTAAGTGGTGAGGATACAAATACAAAAGAGTCCCTGCCCTTGGGGAGGCTATATTCTAATAGGGAAAGACAATATATACATAGGGAAACTAGAGCTGGAAAGAGGCCAGAATACAGGCAGCGTGGTTTGGAGGTGCCTGGGAGTAAAGTGGATGCCTGGCATCTAGTAAGGTCAGATTGTCAGGGTACAGGCTCTGGAAATGCAGGGTACAGGCTCTGGAAATCCCCCACCTTGAACTCTCCTTGAATTTCCTCACGTGGTCAAGTCTCTGGCATTTGCCTGAGGCATTGACTCTTCCCAGTTAATTAACTGCCCCTTCATTGTCTTCACTTGGCCCCACCTAGACCTCTACTCCTAGATCTGGTCTAAATCCCAGTCTTCCTTGGCCATGTGGTCTAGGTCTCTGGTGATCCAGGTCTTTCTCTGTTACCTCACAGTCACCTCAGACTACTTGGCCACTCCTAGATCCCTCCCACAGTCTTTCTGTGCATAAGATCCATCTTGGCCTCCATTAAGGTGCTCAGATTCTTAAAATCTAGCCAATAGTGTAGACTCACTAGGAATCTCACTCATTCTAGTGAGTGTTCTAAGAAACCTTGTCTTTGGCTGAAAGAAGGCTTGAGTCGAATTCATTTGGGCAGAACTGTGTGCTGCTATTTCGGGGTTCCAGCTCCACTAAACCCCTAAACCTCAACAAGAACAAAGCTTATTTGTCAGAGGCCAGGAACCCAGGAGTCTAAGGTCCCAGAATTCCAAGGTTCCAGGGTCCCAGGAGTCTGAGAAAAGCTAGAATGCAGGCAGCATGGTTTGGAGATGACATTATATGTACAGAGGTGATGGACATGAGTAGAGGGCAGACCTCAGAGTGAGGAAAGGCTAGCTCTCAGACCTGTCTGACATGCTACCTAGATGACCTCAGACAAATCACTTACCCTTTCAATGCCCCCCAGACAACTACTCTCTATGACTGTAAGTCATCAACTAACAGAATCAGGGAGAGAATTTCTATATTGGGAATTCCCCTCAAAAAATGAAGTCATAGGTCTAGACCAAAAAGAAAAAACAAGTATTTGTGTGACTTTTAGCTCTACTTTCTTTATTTCATCTCTATAAATAAGTCTTTTCATATATCTTTGAATGCTTCAGTCTTCATTCCTTACAGCCCATTCTGCATTTTTGAATTCTGTTGATTTCAACAAGCATTTATGTCTACCCACTATGCTACTGGCATTAGGGCAGGGGAGGGAGAAAAGGAAGAGGGGAAGATACTGAGACTGAAATGGCTCCAAATCTCACAATTACAAAATATTCGAGGTTGGAAGGGTTTTGTCTTGGGAACCATCCATGCCCCAAGGAGCTTACTTTATACTATGGCACACATTACTTATCGGTAAGTAAATGAAAAAAAATACACAGAGTAATTAGGGTGGGGTTGAGGGACTACCAATAGTCAATAAACATTTATTAAGCACCTAGATGTGCTAAACAGTGGAGATACAAATAGGAAAAAGAAAGCTCCTCAAGGAGCTTACAATCTAATGGGGGAATACAACACATCAAAGAAAGCTGAAAAGGGGGAGGAAAGGAGAAGATACCTAGTATGGGTGCATGGTAGAGTTCAGTCCACAGAATGTAGCTTGTGGGAAATGAAGAATTGGCTTGTCTGTGAGCCCCCTTTAAATGAAGGCTTTGGGAAGAGTTCTTGGCTTCCTGCTCCAGCCTTCCAGGGGGGAGAGGGTTTTGAGAGTACTGAAGAAGTGTGAGGACCAAGGCTCAAGCAACCTCAGAAAATGAGGAGTTTAGTGGTGAAGAGGTTCCCTGAGAGCGCCATGACGGTAGAGTTCAAGTCTAAGGAATGACACTGGTGGTAAATAGTGGCAGGAGTATTAACCATTGAGGAGATCAGGAAATGTCTCCTAGAAAAGTTGGCAACAAGCCAAGCTTTGAGGGAAGGTAAATTCGGAGGCATAGTAGGTTTGAGGGCAAAGATAATGAGTTCCATTTTTGACATACTGTGTTTGAGCTGTCTCTGGGAGACCTATTTGAAACATCCATTATGCAGTTGGTGATGCAGGACAGTAGCTCAGGAAAGAGACTGGGACCATTTGCATAGAGATGATAATTACACCCATGGAGCCATGACGTCACCAAGAGAAGGAGTGGAAAGAGAAGAGGAAGCCCAGAGCTTGGGGGATAGCCACCGTTATGGGTGAGATATGGAGAAAGAGTGGTCAGAGACAGATAGAGAGAAAAACAAGAGTGAACAATGGCATGAAAACCCAGACAGGAGAGAGTATTGAGGAAATGGTGTGGGGGGGGGGTCAATGGCATCAGATGCTGCAGAGAGGCCAAGAAGGATGGAGATTGAGAAAAGGCCACTGGCCTACATCTGAGAGATCACTGCTAACTTTTTTTTTTTAGGCAGTTGGGGTTAAGTGACTTGCCCAGGGTCACACAGCTAGTTAGGGTCAATTGTTTGATCTGAGGCTGGATTTGAACTCAGGTACTCCTGACTTCAGGGCTGGTGCTCTATCCTAGCTGCCCCTGCTAACTAACTTTTGCTATTGCCCAAGACCAACCTTTGTTTTGGGAATGAAGATAAAAATTAAGGTCCAGGATCTTTGAACCACGGATACCAAATCCTGGTGCTAACTTCTTATCCTTAGAGTCCACCTGAAAGTTCTAACACCACGCCTATCATCTTAGTACAGTACTTGGTACATAGCAGGAGTTTCATAAATGTTTTTTGACTGACTATGGAAAGGAAAGACCTGGAGTCTGAGTCTTAGTTTTGGCACTAATCCTCTAAGAATCTGCATGCTATTTTAAAAATTTAGATAGACATATCATTGTAGTAAAATTGTAGTAAAAATCATCTTTTTAATGACCTTGAAAGCTCCCTGTGGATATTTTTTTTTCAATCTCAATTAGCCGCCTTATTGAGAAGCTGCATATAAAGAAAGCTGCATGTGGCAGTAAAGGACTCAAGTGACTGGGCCTGCTCAAAGACCAAGCCCCTTAGCAATTCCAACAGAGGCCATGGGCTATCTCTGCCTTTATTTGCCCATCTGGCAATTAGGGACAGACTCAACTTGTTTCTGGGCCTCCTAGGTGGAGCTCTGATTTCCTGGACATCAGTAGGGAAAGGAGGGCTGGTGGTCATCCTTCTTTAAACCTGATGACTTTAAAGAACATTTTTGGCAGCTTGTCCTGGGGCTAGAAAGAACTATGAGTGAGCCTCAAAAGGTTGTTTCAATTGCCTTCAGATAAATGGCCTGATTGGAGCTCCCTGAAGCTCCCAAGTGGGCAGAACTGGCCTGGGGATGGAGTCTTATGAGGATAACTAGGCTCCCATTTCTGCCCATGACAGGGGATTAAAGAGAGCAGCCCTCCTCCAGAAGCACTCTAGGGTCTGCTCTGGACTTGGAAAATAGCAGGCCAACATGTACAACCTATATGGAGTTGCTTGCCTTTTCAGTGAGGGTGGGGAGGGAGGAAGAGAGAAAATTTGAAACCTAAAGTTTTAAAAGCATATGTTAAAAAAAAAGTTTTCACACGCTACTGGGAAATAAGAAATACAGGAAATGGGGTACAGAAGTCTATCCTGCCCTACAGGAAAATAGAAGGGGAAGGGGATAAGAGAAAGGGGGGAGAGATAGAAGAGAGGACAGACTAGGGGAAGGGATATTCAGAAGGCATGCCATCTTGGGGTGGGGGAGGGGGGAGATGGGGTGAAAATTTGGAATTCGAAAACTTGTGGAAGTGAATGTTGAAAACTAAAAATAAATAAATTTATATTAAAAAAAAAAGAAAGAAAATAGCAGGCTAAAACAACGCCCCCTAGATGATAAAACTCCCAGCAGAGGTCAGTCTTAGAGTTGGAGGCAGAGGGACTGGACTTTCCCCCAGCCCAATTTTCCCAAATAAGGATGTTTTTAAAATTAGCTTATCCACCAGTGCCTAGGAGTCGGGGACAATGGATGGGAATGACCTCAGGTAATCTGGAAAAAGATTGGCCGCCATATTGAAACAGAGCTCACACTATGAATATATAATACAGAGACACTTAGTAATGAGCAGATGCTAGAAAAAGCTTAAGTACCAGGTCCAGATGAATAGATGAATGTTTTATGGTTGGTATGAACATTTGGCTTTTAGATAAAGGCAAGAGAAGTCACCAAATGTTCCCCTAAATGTAGAGTAGGGCCCTTAGTCAGCATATTTATTTTGGGATCACTAAACATGGCTCGATTTATTAATCACACCTTGCTCTCACGCTGTGCTTCCTATCTAAGGATATCCAAATGCTTTACAACCTTTAAGTAACCCAGCTTCATAAACCTCTGGTTATGTAACCCAGTGAGAGAAAAACAGACCAGGAGTGATTGGTAGAGCCAGGGGCAACAAGCTGGAGCATTGGCTGTGGTAGAGATGACAGACGCCATGTCGCATCACAGGACTGCAGACTTAGAATGGGACCTTTGACTTCACTTAGCTTGACCCTCTCATTGTACAGATGAGACAACTGAGCCTTAGTGAATTGCTGATTGCCAGTTGAATTGCTCACAGATCACACAGTCAGGAACTGAACCCCGGTTCTTGGACTCCAAATCTAGAACTCTTTCCAGAGTATCAAGCTGCTTCCTACCTAGGAATCAAAACAATAGCCTCCTTCCTTTGCTTTCCTACAGCATTAAAGAGGATGAATTGCCCAGAGGCAGTGAGATAGCATGGCCAATGAGATTTATCTAGCATCCTCAAGGGTGCCGCCCATAGACCACCAGCGTCTCTATGGACCTTTGTGATTCTCCCTTCTCTTTCTCTTGGCTCTGGGTTAATTTTCTCAGGCCCTCCCTTCTCTGTACTACCCCACCAGCCTTCAGATGGCAGAGATCACAATCAAAGACAACCAGTGGCTAAGAAGGAAAAGAAAAGAAGAATCAGGACAAGGCAGAATTTGAGGAATGGCAATAGCATCTTAACTTGAAAATTGCATGAAGAAAGACTGCACGGTCTGTACTGAACTTTGATAATTACATTGCAGATTATACTGCAGACAGGCATGTGTCTGTCTTGAGGCATCCTCACACCAAAAAAAGGAAAACTTTTGAGGAGAACTTATCAGGAACCACTTCTACAGTGTGATGACCCAACACATAGTAGGAGCTTAATAAATGTTGTTGATTAATTGGGGAAAAAAACCCAGGCTTGTGATCAGTTAGAATCCTGGATCTGCCACCTACCTATTATCTACTTGTATGACCTCAGCAGAAAGAGTACTGGCTCTGAGGTCACAGGACCTGGGTTCGAATCCCTACCTCTAACATGTGCTATATGTGTGATCTTAGTAAGTCACTAAACTGCCCTGGGCCTCAGTTTCCTCAACTGTAAAATGAGGCTGTTGAATTGGATGGTCTTTGAGGTCTCTTCTGGTTCTAACTCTTGTAGGTCTGGACTTTACTTTCCTGAGCCTCTGTTTCCACATGTGTAAAATGAAGGGATTAGATTAGATAATCTTCATGGCTTCTTCCCTTGTAGGCCTACAGTCCTACTGTGGAGAGCTGGTATAGACTTAGGTCAGGGCTCTTGTCAAGTGAGGCCTGGAGGACAGTAGTTCCTAGCCTGAAATGGCAGCTGACCCCCACCCCCTCAGTAAGGAAATGGGACACCCTGGTAATATTCTTGTCTTCTCCCATCCTGGTCTTCCAGGTTCTTGACAGACACCCAGCCCAGGGCGTTAGCTTAGCAGCCTGGAAGCCTTCAGTTCGAAGGAATGGGTCTTTTGCTAAATGGGTCCCAGAGAGACTTCTGAAGACTGTCTCGGAGAATTTCCTTGATTTTTCAGGCTCTGAGTCATCTATGAAGTGGACAAAGGGCAGGTGTTCAGAAAGGGAGCCACTCCAGTGTGTTGCTAAGCCAATAAAATGAATGGCATTTACAAAGTTGTTGGGCTGGGTTTGGTTGGTGTGGGAATGTTTGTGTTTCAGTCCATTCTATTCAATTCAACAAACCTAGAGAAAGCAGGTACTGTCCACAAGGCACAGTGCTAAGCCTGAAATTATCCCTGACTCTAAGGAGCTACTCCTTGAGTGGAAAGAGGTCGAGGAGAGAGAGGGATGGGTCAAGAGAAGCCCAGACAAAGGGAGGCAAGATGGAGGAAAGATCATGGGCTCTGAAACCAGAGGATATGCAGTCAAATCCCCTCTGTGACCTCGAACAAGTTTCTTCACCTCCTGGGCCTCAGTTTCCTCATTTGTAAAATGAGAAGGTTGGCCCAGAAAGCCTTTGAGATCCAGGTCTACAGCTATGACCCTATGACCCTGGGCAAGTCCTTTTACCCCCTCTGAGTAGGACTGACTTCACAAGGTCATCACCATCACTTCAACCTCTCTTGGGGTCCCTTCGGGCTTCGGAGCTAAGGACTCTGGGGAAATTTAAGAAGAGATGGAGGGAATTAAGGAACACTTATGGAAGAAGTAATAGCGTGGCTAAGCCTTAAAGGGAAGGGAAGAAATCTGAAAGGCAGAGGTGAGGAGGGAGGGGATTCCAGCATGGTGTCCAGCCTTCCTAATGCTCAGAGCTTGGAGGTGGAATGTTGAGGTCACAGGGATAGGCTAGGCTAGGAGCCCAAGAGAGGCAAGAAATAGGAAGAGAATGGTGTGAATAAGGCTGGAAAGGCAAGCTGGAGCCCGACCATGGAGGGCTTTAAACACTAAGATAAGGAGCTAGTATTTATTGTCTTTGTAAGGGCTAGGGTGCTGTTGCTATAACCTACGTAGAGGGAAACATTCATTATTAACTTTGGTTTAACACTCAACTTTCTAAGGTATTTATAGATGCCTTTCTATAGTTGTGCTCTGCAGCAGAATGGGAGACCTTCCAGCTGACACCTCATAGATCATCAAAATTAAGACCTTTAGGCGAGAAAAAAGAAAATAGAGAGAGGAAGAATCTGTTGGATGTCTCCTTTAAAGATGGACAGCTTTCATTAAGAATCGAACGATTCTTGTCATCCTGCTTCTCCTGTTTCCGTGACAACAGGCAACATGTAAGAAGGAGTGGTCCTTGGTGCCCACCTGCGACGGCTGTTTGGATGACCTATGGCCAGTGGGGATGCACAGCAAGTGGGACGAGTGAGACAGCTCTTGGTTAGAGCCCCCTTTTTCTGCCAGACTAAATCCTAAAGAAATCAGAGCAACCAACAAGCTGGAAACAAACTGAACTGGTAGGCTTTATAAACATAATACTGCTCATCATGTTGGAGTAATTTGTGCCCAAGGTTTGTAGAAGAAGCATAGGGGAAATACCTGCTAATAAGGGGGAAAAAGTATTTCATTTTCTACTTTATTGCAGTACAGTCAATCAGCAAAGTTATTAAGCTCTTGTCACGTGCCAGGCATTGTTAACACGGAGCTAAGAGACGAAGAAAGGCAAAAAAACAATTCCTGCCCTAAGGAGGTTACATTCAAAGGGAAAAGACAACACCTATCCAAATAGGTATGTTAAAGCAGGGTGATAGTAAAAGTTTAACAACTGGCTCTCTAATAAAAAACTGCTCACCACACTTTTAACATTTTTTCCATCATTTTCTCAAGTCCAGACAATCAACACACAAAAAGTCAAGTTCCGATCTGTAGTGTTTGCCAGTCTCTAAAATGTAACTTTTCACACTGGTTCCAGGACATCCCTGGGAACATACCGCTTATCTACCAAGCAGAGGAGAGCTCATCTCCGAGGCTAACCTCAGGCACTGGCGGCCGGGTGGAGCTGGTGCGGGATTTCTGCAGAAGGGCTTTGAGCTGAGCTGAGGTACTTCAGCCTTCTTCAGCTGCTGACAACTCTTGTGGGGGAAGGGAGAAGAGATGGTGGCTGGTGCTTTTCTGTAAAGAATTCATTATTATCATGTCATCACCTTGCTTCATTTTCCTCTTTGCCACATGCCAGTCACCAGAAGGCCAGGGAGAAGTGGTGTTCTGCATTTTGGCAGACACAATGTCTGCCCTCCTCAATCTAGGCCACTTAACATGCTGAAGAAGACAGATCAGATCAGCTGGGTCTGCAGACCCAACAGCCATCAGGCACCTCCCTCTACCTGGTTCATGCATGACATCCCTAGCTCACTCCCTAGTGACTTGCTGGTCTGGAACCAACAGGTCTTGGAGGCCTAGAAGACTTAGTGGCAGATTAGGTCTTCTCTCTTCCCATTCTGCTCCTGACCACTACGGCCCCCTTCCTGGCTAGCATTATGAGCTATTTGTGAATCACTGATTTAGAGATGGAAGGGACATAGAGGCCACGATATAACATGCTCAATTTTACAGGTGAGGAAACTAAGGCGCAGCATGGTCATAGCATCATTGATCTATGGAAGGGACTTTAGAAATCATATAAGCCAACACCCTCTTTTTATAGATGGGGAACCGAGGCCCAGAGAGGTCAGTAGTAAGAGCTGGGATCTGAATCCACGTGCACTACATTGAGAGGCCTTTTCATCGAACTACCTGCCTCCTATGTACCACATTATTCAGTAGGTCAGAGTAAAGGAACCGTGGTTATGGGATCAGAAGACCTGGGTTTGAATCCTGACTGCCACTGGCTTCTGGTGTGACCTTGAAACAGTTAATTACTCCGAGTAAGAGTTTCCGTGTGTCTAAAACAAGAATTCTTAACCTTTTAGGTAGGATGGACCCAGTGGGCAGTCAGTCTGGTGAAACCTATGGACCGCTTCTCAGAATCATGTTTTTTTGTTTGTTTGTTTTTGGGTTTTTTTGGCTAGGCAATGGGGTTAAATGACTTGTCCAGAGTCACACAGCTAGTGAGTATTATTTGCCTGAGGTCAGATTTGAACTTAGATCCTCCTGACTCCAGGGCCGGTGCTCTATCCGCTGCATCATTTAGCTGCCCCTAGAATCATGTTTTTATGTGCAAAAAACAAAATACAGAATACAAAGGAAACAAATCAATTTGAAATAAAAAAATGTACTTCCCCCCCCATCCGAGTTCATGGATCACTTGCTATCCATAGACCTTTCATGGGTCCATCAACTCCATGTTAAAAGCATCTGCCTCTACAATGAGGCTTGTCAGAACATGAACCTAGCAGGTCTTACCAAGTTAGGAAGGTTCCAAATACAGACCCTGGGGTATACTATTCCTGGATTGACTTAGCTGAGTCTCCTGAGCTCACCAGCTTGACTGCAGGTAATGAGGGGGCCGGACTGGATGAACTCCAATATCCCTTCTAAAATCCTAAGAGAAGTCCTAGTCTTTTTGTGGGGTGGAGCTAATTTGATCTTCCCCGTACCCCAGGCTCACAAGGACAGGGCTCACAACATTGGGGACTAGTGGAAGCCGCCCACAGCAGCCTCAGTGAGGAGTGCGATGTTGCCCGGGGCCCCAACATTGATCACGTGGGAATTCCTCCTTTAGAAGGCACTAATGTGGTTACTCTCTCATGAACCAAGTGGTAATAGAAGCTGTTTTCTCAGCTTGGTGACCTCAGTAGGTCACCATGCATTTATTAAGCACTTAGCATGTGCCAGGCACTATGCTAAGTGCTGGAGATACAGAAAAATAAGTAAATAAAAACCGTCTCCTGCTGCCAAGGAGATCTCATTCTAATGGAGGAGACAACAGGTAGACATCTAGGTACATACAAAGTATACGTGGAGTAGACAGAAGGGAATTTCAGAGGGAAGGTGCTAAAATTAACCAATTCCATGCGATGTAATGTGTCGAGCGTTTGGGAATAGGGTAGGACTTGGGGGTGGGGGCTCTTTCACGGAGCCTGTTAACATTCCCTGTTTCTGATTAGCAGTCCATTTTCTTTCTGTATTGGCCAAGTATTCTCCAAATAAAACTAATGTCTCTAAGATATTTCTCTTTGTGAATGTGTGTGTGTGTGTGTGTGTGTGTGTGTGTGTGTGTGTGTGTGTGTGTCCTTATGGGAATTTAAGCAGCAGAGAGAGTGAGAGAATGGGGCTATGATCACTGAGGAACACGGGGTGGGGGGGGAGGGAGGGAGAGAGAGAGAGAGAGAGAGAGAGAGAGAGAGAGAGAGAGAGAGAGAGAGAGAGAGAGAGAGAGAGAGAAGCAGATTCTTTCCCCAAATTGCTGGGGTGTCCAGCTCAGGGCTAACATGAGCCAAAGGAGATTCTTATTAAAAGCACATCATTAAACTCTCTAAAGGCAGAGTTCAGAATGAGTCTAGACCGTTTCTGGACTCCTCCGGGCACAACTGAACTGAACCTGGGGTTAGGGGAATAGAAGCTTTGCCTCTAAGCCCTCAGGGGCTGTTGGCCCTGGACCCTTCCTCTCCTAAGCTTTCTCCAAGCAAAGATTCAAAGGGCCCCAGGGATGGCCAGCTGAGCACCAGTCCCTCCATCTTGTGCTAAGCATTACCTCACCAAGGAAAGGATCTCCTTGCCATGCTCCCCACCCTAATGACCCCTCCAAAGGAACATTCTGTGTGATATCATCTGCTCAGGGAGGCTCCATAGGTTCCCTGATTTCAGAAATCAGCTTGGCCGTTCAGGTTATGGTATTTTATTTAATCAGCCAGCTCTTACAGCATCCCCTCTGAATCTCCTTTCGCCTGAAGGCTCTCCTCTTCTTTGTGGTTCAAACATAGCTGAGCTTTGTCCTTTTGTTCTTTGGGGAGTCTGGGGGTGGGGCTCCCCTGCTGGAGAACTCCATGAACCCCAAGACAAGTTTGATGTTATTCTTGCCTCTGTGACAGTAGGCTTGGGGGCCTTGATTAAGGGACATTCATGCCCATGGAGGCGCCTGAAAGGAGAGACTGGGAAAGAGCTCTCTGCCCATGTAAGGGTAGGGGCCATCCACAAGGGAGTAGATAGCTTTCCTCCAACCTCAACAACTGTAACCCCTAGTTATACATGAACTTAGAGCTGTACAGTGAATCATCTGAAGCACCAACCTTTTTGTGCCGGGAAAGGCCTGGGTCATCTCTTTTAACAACTTTGGACCCAAGAGAAGAGCTCATAAACCTGAGCTGTAATTGGAGCCCCAGTTCTAGCATGAACTGTGTCTATATGGTTCCCACAGTCCTAGGGCTGAACAGCCAGTCACAGGTTTTGGTTAAGATCCCTGGGTTGGATAGACTGCTTCACCTTCAGCCTGGGATGGACCATTATGACCAAGAGGGAAAAGGAATGGATTATCATAAGAGTGGCTCTATCAGTCCCAGAGACAAGGCTATTGTCTTTTTCTGGAACTTGGGCAAACTATCTCACCCCATTCCTTCTGTTCTTTCTACCCCTCCTCTGATGCCACACTCACTCACCATACCCCACCACCAAATCAGACAATATCCATTACTTCGGAATGTCACCAGACTCATTCTTTAGGACATAGGTATAAAGGGAGGCATTCATGAGAGAGACAGAGGCAGAGGGAAAACAGGCACATGCATAGAGAATGAGGAAGGGAAAGAGACAGAGAGATTGAGAGACAAAGAGACTGAGAGAGATACAGAAAGGGGGGAGAAGACAGAGAGAGACAGAGATGGAGAGAGAGAGACAGTGACAGAGAGAAACAGAGAGAACTTTTTGGCCCCAGGATGACAAAGCAGATTGGTAGTACCTCTCCCGACAGGCAAACCTGGGATGCTTTTGAGTCACAGAGAGAATGACAGCTGTGAGGTAGCAGGAAGAGGCATACTCAGTTTCTAAGTATGTGTCATCACAAACACAAACACACAAATTTGTGGTAGAACTGGATAAACCAAGCCATCTAATGTCTGCTTGGTGCTTAGGAGATTCTGGACCAGTGCTGTGTGGTGTTCAATTTTTAAAGAGATGTAGCTCTGAACTTATATTCTAAGGGAAAGATCCATACACACTGGGTGTGTGCCAGTTACTACAAATGTAAGAAAAAAGGGGAAGAGAAGAAGAGTTGCATACTGTGTGTGTGCTTTAACATTTCTGCTGATTTTTGTGATGCCCCTGAGCCACTCTCTTTTACGCATGAGCCCCCCAAAAACCTACCTTGGTTCAAGGCATTCTGTGGGTCGATACATTTAAAACTATAGTTCTTGAGCCCCCACTGATATGTTCATTTTTTCCATTCAGGTAGAGGACACACATTAGTTCAAACGGAAGACATTTAATCAAATAGCATAGCAAATAAAGTGTCAAGAGGAGATCTGCCTCATGAAGGCTTTATCTCCCATTGATTAACACAGCAAAAGTGGGAAAGAGCATATATATGGAGGATAAAATAATAAGAGAATGTGTGGTGATGGTGGTAGGAATGTAAGGAACATTTATGATTTCAGACCACATGTAGAGGGCATACATGTAGGGAAAATGTGTATCAAGGGATATGTGTGGAGAGGTATATGCTAGGAACCTGTGTGCGGAGCAACTCCCACTTGTCATGTTTGGGGGTCTGCTGATACATTTTAGTGATAACATCACCCGACTGCCTGCCGCATGAAGTACAAAAGCAGGGAAAATGGGTAAGATTAGGAATGACATCAGCAAAAAATCCTAAAGTTAAATCTGTCAGAAAGTGGAATGGGTTCCTTTCTCCAGGGGGGAGTGGGCTGCCTCTCACAGGAGATCTTCAAGGATGAGCTGGACTACTTTCCTTCTAAGACGTGCCTTGGATCAGATAGACACTGAGGTCTCTACTAACGCTGAAATTCTGTGATTCTGTACTATTGATAACAGCCGACACATGTCAGAGAGTGACTGACGGTTTACAAAATACTTCATGTATTTATATGCATTCTGTTTGCTTACATCCCATCTCACAAGAGCAGAGTGCTTCAAAAACGTAGTAGAGCAGGGGATTGACTCCCATGCAGGATCGTCACCCACTTCCAGGAACAGGCTCACCAAACCCCGCAGGTGGGGGGCAGCAGGTAGAGGCTATCGGGCATATTCCCAGGACTGCACTTTCATTGGCCAGTCCCATGTTATACTTGCACCACCTAAATGTGAATTATTTTTATCATTAGTTCGATCAATAAATCAACCAGTAAACATTTATTAAGCACCTACTATATGCCAAGCCCTGTGCTAAGCATTGGGGATACAAAAAGAGGCAGAAGACAGTCCCTGCCCCCATACAATCTAACAGGTGTTGCATGTATCCCTATTACCACTTTTCAAAACAGTCTCGGTGAAACTCAATGACTTGCCCAGAGTCACTCAGCTAAAAAGTGTCAGAGGTAGGATTGGAACCCAGGTCTCCCCCACTGGATGACCACCTCTCTCTCCCACTCTCCCAGTTCTGTTTCTGATGCTGACTGTGATGGCCACTCACCAAAATGAACACTGATTCTCCAGGATTCGGGCTTGCAAATACATGCAGGAATGAGAGAATGCTTTTTGAGCCTGAGCCCTAGCACTCTGGGGGTCAGATGCACCACCCCAAGAACGTGGCCAGCATGAGAAAGGCCATACTACCCGTCTG